GTACTGGAGCATGTGAGTCACTGAGATTGTACTGGAGTATGTGAGTCACTGAGGTGGTACTGGAGTATGTTAGTCACTGAGATGGTACTGGAGCATGTGAGTCACTGAGATGGTACTGAAGCATGTAAGTCACTGAGATTGTACTGGAGCATGTGAGTCACTGAGATTGTACTGGAGTATGTGAGTCACTGAGGTGGTACTGGAGTATGTTAGTCACTGAGGTGGTACTGGAGTATGTGAGTCACTGAGATGGTGCTAGAGTATGCGAGTCACTGAGATGGTACTTGTGTATCTGAGTCACTGAGATGGTACTGAAGTATGTGAGTCACTGAGATTGTACTGGAGTATGTGAGTCACTGAGGTGGTAATGGAGTATGTGAGTCACTGAGATGGTACTGGAGTATGCCAGTCACTGAGGTGGTACTTGTGCATCACTCCTACCTGTGCGCCCTGCTTCTGCTGATGTGGAGCTGGAGTATGTGAGTCACTGAGATGGTACTGGAGTATGTGAGTCACTGAGGTGGTAATGGAGTATGTGAGTCACTGGGATGGTACTGGAGTATGCCAGTCACTGAGGTGGTACTGGAGTATGTTAGTCGCTGAGGTGGTACTGGAGTATGTGAGTCACTGAGGTGGTACTGGAGTATGATAGTCGCTGAAGTGGTACTGGAGTATGTTAGTCGCTGAGGTGGTACTGGAGTATGTTATTCGCTGAGGTGGTGCTGGAGTATGTGAGTCACTGAGGTGGTACTGGAGTATGTGTGTCACTGAGGAGGAGGTACTGGGGTATGTGAGTCACTGAGGTGGTACTGGAGTATGATAGTCGCTGAAGTGGTACTGGAGTATGTTAGTCGCTGAGGTGGTACTGGAGTATGTTATTCGCTGAGGTGGTGCTGGAGTATGCGAGTCACTGAGGTGGTACTGGAGTATGTGTGTCACTGAGGTGGTACTGGAGTATGTGTGTCACTGAGGAGGTACTGGGGTATGTGAGTCACTGAGGTGGTACTGGAGTATGTGAGTCACTGAGATGGTACTGGAGTATGTAAGTCATTGAGGTGGTACTAGAGTATGTTAGTCACTGAGGTGGTACTGGAGTATGTGAGTCACTGAGGTGGTACTAGAGTATGTGAGTCACTGAGGTGGTACTGGAGTATGTAAGTCACTGAGGTGGTACTAGAGTATGTGAGTCACTGAGGTGGTACTGGAGTATGTGAATCACTGTGATGGTACTGGAGTATATAAGTCACTGAGGTGGTACTGGAGTATGTGTGTCACTGAGATGGTACTGAAGTATGTGAGTCACTGAGATGGTACTTGTGTATGTGTGTCACTGAGGTGGTACTGGAGTATGTGAATCACTGTGATGGTACTGGAGTATATAAGTCACTGAGGTGGTACTAGAGTATGTGAATCACTGAGATGGTACTGGAGTATGTGAGTCACTGAGATGGTACTTGTGTATGTGTGTCACTGAGGTGGTACTGGAGTATGTGAGTCACTGAGGCGGTACTGGAGTATATGAGTCGCTGAGGTGGTACTGGGGTATGTGAGTCACTGAGGTGGTACTGGAATATGTGAGTCACTGAGGCGGTACTGGAGTATATGAGTCACTGAGATGGTACTGGAGTATGTGAGTCACTGAGGTGGTACTGGAATATGTGAGTCACTGAGGAGGTACTGGGGTATGTGAGTCGCTGAGGTGGTACTGGAGTATGTAAGTCACTGAGATGGTACTGGAGTATGTGAGTCACTGAGGTGGTACTTGTGCATCACTCCTACCTTTGCGCCCTGCATCTGCTGATGTGGAGCTGGAGGATATCTGTGGTCCTGACTGAGATGATCGAGGTACCCTCTGAAGATTGCGTATGATGGAACGCCGGGAACGAGTGGACTGTCGCTGTAGTGGAGACTGCTTAATATTGGTACGAGTCTGAAGAGAAAAGACACAGCAAAGTGTTTAAGTCTCTTACAGGGTTTTATATTAATACATGTCTACTTTGTTAATAAACACTGAGGAGCCATCTTTTTATTAAAGTACTGATCACGACCTATGAGGCGTGATCTTAACAGGTGCTGCCCTTGACCAGTGAGGTCCTGTTTATACAATTAATAACCATGAGGATTAATTTTTACATTTTTTTGACTTGTGAGAAGTGATATTCACAACTACTGACCTTGACTTGTAAGGATATAAACAAGTACTGACCTTGACCTGTGATGAGAAGGAGCNTGAGTCATTGAGGTGGTACTGAAGTATGTGAGTCACTGAGGTGGTATTGGAGTATGTGAGTCGCTGAGATGGTACTGGAGTATGTAAGTCACTGAGGAGGTACTGGAGTATCTGAGTCACTGAGGTGGTACTGAAGTATGTGAGTCACTGAGGTGGTACTGAAGTATGTGAGTCACTGAGGTGGTACTGGAGTATGCGATTCAATGAGGTGGTACAGGTGCTGGAGTATGCGAGTCACTGAGGTTATGTATGTGAGTCGCTGAGGTGGTACTTGTGTATGTGAGTCACTGAGGTGGTACTTGTGTATGTGTGTCACTGAGATGGTACTGGAGTATATAAGTCACTGTGGTGGTAATGGATTATGTGAGTCGCAGAGATGGTACTGGAGTATGTAAGTCACAGAAGTGGTACTGGATTATGTGAGTCACTGAGGTGGTACTGGAGTATGTTACTCACAGAAGTGGTACTGGATTATGTGAGTCGCTGAGGTGGTACTGGAGTATGTGAATCACTGAGGTGGTACTGGAGCATGTGAGTCACTGAGANGTGAGTCACTGAGATGGTACTGGAGTATGTGAATCATTGAGGTGGTACTGGAGTATGTAAGTCACTGAGGTGGTACTAGAGTATGTGAGTCACTGAGGTGGTAATGGAGTATATGAGTCACTGAGATGTTACTGGAGTATGTGAGTCACTGAGGTGGTACTTCTGCATCACTCCTACCTGTGCGCCCTGCATCTGCTGATGTGGAGCTGGAGGATATCTGTGGTCCTGACTGAGATGATCGAGGTACCCTCTGAAGATTGCGTATGATGGAACGCCGGGATCGAGTGGACTGTCGCTGTAGTGGAGACTGCTTAATATTGGTACGAGTCTGAAGAGAAAAGACACAGCAAAGTGTTTAAGTCTCTTACAGGGTTTTATATTAATACATGTCTACTTTGTTAATAAACACTGAGGAGCCATCTTTTTATTCAAGTACTGATCACGACCTATGAGGCGGGATCTTAACAGGTGCTGCCCTTGACCAGTGAGGTCCTGTTTATACAATTAATAACCATGAGGATTAATTTTTTACATTTTTTTGACTTGTGAGAAGTGATATTCACAACTACTGACCTTGACTTGTAAGGATATAAACAAGTACTGACCTTGACCTGTGATGAGAAGGAGCTGTCTGTACAGTCTGTGGGTGAGAGCTCTGTGCGCGACCTTGACACTATGGCTTGTCCTAGAGTATCACTTTCTGTCTCCTCTCTGTAACACAAACCAGAAATATAACCAACGAATAA